CTGAGCCAACAGGGAGCAGTCTCCCCACCAGCTCAGCTGTTTTGGACTCTTTTGTGCGGCCCCTTTAAACATGTCCATTTAAATGGACTGCACAAGAGAGCCCAAAACAACTGAGCTGGTAGGGAGACTGCTCCCTGCCAGCTCAGCTGGTTTTTTTTGGGGGAAGTGTCTTTTGCAGTCCCTTTAAGGGACAGCAGAGGAAAGACCAAAAAATAGCTGAGTGGTGGGAGCAATCTGCTCCTGCCTTTCAGCTGTTTGGAGGGCTTTGATGATCTTCCCAGTAATTCCCAAACTTATCTGGGATTCGGGGAGGATTTTCCCCTCAACTTTCCTGAAAAATCCCAGATACCTTTGGGATGCTGAACTATACCTGAATACTACTGATAAGGTATTTTTTGGGTATAATTTTCAGCTCAGGTAGATCCGAATGCACAACCTTAGTGTGAATTTCTGGAGAAAAATAAAAAATCGAATCAGTTTTTTAAAAAACTGCAAACCCATCCTTGTAGATTATTGTAATAATGAGAGGTGGAAACAATATCAAGAGAATAAGGATGAATGCAAAAAAAAAAATCTGCCACTTGCTACAGAAGAAAAAATAGGCTTAATGATCCATAGACACAGTCACTGTGTACAAACACTGCCATACAATTAAAAGAAATCATATTAAGGATTTGAATGGAAAAGTGAAGATAGGGGATGAGTCAAGGGACAAAAGCTTAAGTGTGTGAGCATATATGCATACACTAGGGACTAAATTAGACATGCTGTAGGGATTTTTTTTTTGTTAATCAGCTGCTTTAGGAGGCCTGCAGCTTAGACAAAGAGGGATTCTCTCTTCCCCCTCTGCAATTTCCTTGACTTTAAACAGCCCCCTGCTATTTGCTTTACTGAGGGAAACTCAAGGAAACCATTATGGTTCTCCTCAATAAACTGCAATTCCAGGAGGTTATTTGAGGTCAGGAACATGATGGAAAGAAAACCTATTACACTATCTTGCTCTTGCATGGTCTTCCTATCATGGCTGCTTGGAGAAAACACACTTCTGCATTCCACTACCCCCGCAATAGACCTCCAAGCATCTTGTTTAGTTTGGCCCAGAGGTGCTGATACTTACTTGGGAATTTTCATTAATAGTTTACAAATTATCTATTGATAAATGAGGCACAGGGAGAGGTGAGGAATTACTCCTTTTTGTGTTGGGGATGTTTGGTCCTACTCAGGAACCCTCTATGCACAACTCCTCTGTGCACTGACTGAACCTGTGAGGGGGGCACTGAGCATGAGCATCCTGGCCCCACTCCCCGCTTCTGTGAGACCACTGGTTCATTCGCAAAGTGTAAATGCTTGGAAGAAGTTCCCACATGTAGACGCCCTATGACCAGGGCAATACTCCATCTAAGCTGTGGAGTCTTGTGAGCAAAAATTCTACTTTGTGAGCTAACGGCATTAAAGTTGTGAGCAAGTTATTCGGCTACTGCATAAATTAGTTTGTTCTGGAGCCATCTTTCCTGAACTAAGACAAAAATGTGTGAGCTGGAGGCTAAAAAACGGTGAGCTAGCTCATACTAACTCAGCTTAGAGGGAACACTGGACCAGGGACATTGTTTTTTGAATGTCGCCATCCACAAGGAGTGAGTGCAAATGCTGATACTTCCTCTGTGCATAGGTCCTGTGTTTACAAGCCAGCACTCACGTGAAGGGGGGACATAGGACCAGCACACTCATGACTGCTGTGGAAGGGTTTTCTGTAAAAGGGCTGCGAGAAGGAGATTTCATGATGTTATAAGCAACTCTCAGTCAGAGTTGGACTCTTGAGACAGGACTAGATACAAAAAAAGAACTCAACTGTCTTTGTGGGGGGGAACCTATATCTTTGTGAAGTTTTATATGCTTCAAAAAATTCAAAAAAATCCAAGAATTCATTAGGTAATTAAAGGCTACTTTGCAATTCCAAGTTACTGTGTAATTAAAGAAGACTGCAGGAGGTTAGTTCCATGATGAGAGAAAGCCTCATATTTCAAGTATGCCACTGAATGTAGGTTTCATCTTCATTTATTATTAAATTTTATTGCATTATTAAGAACTATTATATTTATAAACTGAATTTATAAACCTGCTTGCTTGCATTTAAATCCCATGAAATCCCATAAAAATATAACAATGGAAGTATGACAGCACCCGTCCACTTCCCTCCCTCAGAGGCAAGATTTTTCGCCTGTTTTTCTTTCCCTTTACTGACTGAGCTGCCCTAGTAATGTGTTTTCCTCTTTGCTGAAAAACTTTGACTGTCCCACCCTGTCACAGTAGGATCTTATGGCTGTTGGCTCGGCCTAGGAACCTGAGGGGAGGATCAGGAGCCAGCTTTAACAACTTAAATGGCACTTGGGGCATTCTGAAGTTCAAAAACAACAAAATATTTTAACATAGAGGGGAAAGGTCAGTTAAAATCAGGGGTTGAAAATTTCTGAGGTAAAATCAGTACATGCAGATACTTTAGTTTTTTTAATGTTTCAGGCTAATGAGACTTTCTTAAGCTATTCACAGGCTGTGATCATATGGAGCAGAAGCTGTGGCAGGCAAACAATTCCCCCGCGGATTAAAGGGACGCGATCAGACAGACACATCTGTCTGGCATCCCGGAGTTGTTGGTGGGACATCTCGTTGCGCCGCAGGAGAAGCGCAAAAAACCACCAGGAAAAGGTAAGTATTATGCGGAACTGTGGGGAAGGCAGGCGGAAATCTGATCGCCCAAACGCACGTCAGTTCGCCCCGGGGCAAACAGCCTCGCTTCCCACCCACAGTTCCTTGGTGGTGTGATCAGAGCCACAGTTACTTAAATCTTTATGTTGAGATGCTTTTGTTCCAGTGTTTCCTCAAAAACTCCAGTACACTTTCTTTGAATATACTCTTTTGTTTTCCAGAAGGCTGGTACACTCTTACCAGTACCCAAACCCCTTCTCTTGAAACACCAGTACTCATCTTGAGTTTTAAACTTACTCTTAAGGTCTCTAAAGGCAGTTTTTAACCACACCAGACCAGGGATCTCTGCAGTCTTCAGAGCTAACTCCCTGTTCGACTTCTCATAAAATGTTCAACCCCCTACTAGGTTTTTATAATAATGTGTTCTGTATAATAAGTAATAATGTGTTCTGTATTTTGTTTTTCCATATATAAAGGTATGTTGTGTTCTCCAGCTGCACTGTTGGCATGATGTGTCAAAATGTCAATATCCATATTTTCCTTTTTTCTGTTGGCTGTGTATGAACACATTTTTCTGCATTTTTAAAATTAATGTATTTTTCATAGTATTGTTGGTTACTGTTTAAATGGCTTTCTTGCAGTAACCAATTTGCTAGCTTTTTGGATTTTCTCATTTTGGCAGGGCATCCTCTTCTGTGAGGTACTTTTGGCTTTGTATTGTTCTGCATGGTTCTGATGAGGGATTGTTGCTTCTGACAAAAAAAGGCAGAGATCCTTTCAATTCAATGCCCTCTTAAGGGAGGAGTCAGCTCTGTGACAGCCTTCTGTGAAGGGAAGGGAGTGACAGTTGGAGCCCACTTCCCCCTTTGTTTCCCCCTTTTTCTTTATTGAACACTGGAAAGAGAGCCATCTAGCCTTGCTCAATTCCCTTGTGCATAATCAGCCAACTGACTGAAGTAGGCTTCAAAGAGGAGTTTGCCTGGGAATTACCATCGCTTTGTTTATGTGAGGTGAGATTTCAAAGATTGCCTTACTGGGTACTGCAGGCCTCGAGGTGCTACAGGTGTCCTGTACCACTCTCCTTCGGAGTGCCCTTGCCAAAAGCAGCTGTTTAAATGGCCATCGGTTAATCAATGAATCAGCCTGAAGCACCTTTGCTTTTTCAGTCTCTCACCTTGCCCTAGAGAATTGTGTGGTTGCAGGGCTCCAGTCTTCTTCTACCTGAGATAAATCCACATTCACTCACAGCACCACAGCTGTCTTTGGCAGTTTATTTGTCTGTCATAGTTGCTAAGGAACATTTTTAAAGGTGGTGTGTACAAACTGGCACTGGTTGGAGGAAATCCCACCTTCTCTCCCCCTGCCCCCTACCGCTCAGTCACTGTGCCTACCTATCCACTAATGATGCCTCAGCTGTCCTTTTATCATTTCCCTCTACCTTCTAGTCAGTCAGAAGAGAGAAACAGTGGGAAGAAGCAATGCCCAAGCTGGTGGGGGGAGGGAAAAGCAATTAGAAGCCAGAGAAAATATTTTTAAAGGATAGCAGAGCCTGCAGCTACAGAGGTTGGGGTGAGAATTATCCTTCTCTCCCACTTGCAAAGATTTGCAGTTACAGGCTCAAATGTCCTTTTAAATCTTCCCCCTGCTATTTAGCTATTCATACTGCAGGAAAAACAGCATTGATGGGTGAGTGGCAGCAATGAATCCTCCTCAATCCCAGCTCCAGTTCTACTGTTGCTTCCTCCCCTCTTCCCCCACACATTGTCTCTCTTTCTATCTGTGTGTGTCTCTCTCACTATCAGCCAGATCTGGTTGGCTATGATTGGCTATGAAGCAAAAATGTTAAACACAGAACAAGAACCCCAGAAATCTGGAATTCACTGCACAGCAAGTTTACTCAGTCTCCCTTCTGCGATAGGATTGAACCTTGCTATTGTATTATTTAGGCTTATTTCTTGCAAAAAATGATTAAACTCTTATCATCAATAGTTTCCTGCCAGCTAGCCCTAGTAACTTTTTATTAGTTCCCATATTCCCCAGTTATTAAAGGCATCTTCTATATGTACATTATTAAACAGTATATTCAACTATATTTTTTCAACACACAGCCATTTTTAATGTTGTCCCCCCCCTTATTTATTTCATTAAAATCCTGATACCCGACAGCAGGAAAGAATAATTAATATTTGCTCTCCATGTACCAAGAATCAGAGCACTAGGGAATAAATCAGAAGATAGCTTTATAAAATATAAACTTATCATAGTGCAAATCATCTGCATTAAAAAAATAAATTCACCCCTTTTAAGTAGAATAACCGTGGCGTGTCTGCGGCCATATCCATTTTCAACGTAACATGAGTAATTTCCGAGGTCTCCTTCTTCCACTGAATCAAGGATTAATGAGATGGAAACTTCTTGTTCTCCAAGATGTTCCTTAAGAACTCTGGTGCAAAAAAAATCAAATTATTCATATGCAAAGTTATTTACAGAATATCAAAGCAAAAGATAATCCTGATGTGATGTTTCTCACAAATAGAAACGTTCTGGTTTCAAATTGACTACAGTGTACTTTAAATCTTAATTAAGTTATATAATGCCCTTTTCTTCCTTATTATTAATGAGGAGGTTTAGTTTTGTAGATGCTAATAAGGGCTGCAATTAATTTGCTGGCGTTAAGCACATCCTGATAAGATATTGGGGTTGTGCACAAAATGTTGGCAAAGGTTTACATGCTCTTTTAAAAGTTTTAAAGGGCTTATTGAAACTATGGAGTACAGAAGAAGTTTGGAGAAAATGATTATTTCTTGATGCTAACATTAAAAATGGATGCCCTTTTTCATAATAGATTTGCACATGACATAAGGATAGAGATCTAGCTATCTATCAAATACACACACACAAATCTAATGTATAAACTTGGTACATTTGACTGGCATGCTAAAACTCTGAATCTCTTGCTATATTCAAATATCCTGTATCGTGACTGAATGATATAATTACTATTTCTCAAATTTTACAGAAGAATATTATGAAAAAATAAGACAAAAAATTATTAATAAAGTTTGCTGTTTCTCCATACACATAATTCCAAAAGAGAACTTCAATTTCATTGCTAATGTTCTCCTACATCATTGGAGGATGAAAGTAAGCACTTTGAGTGTAAACACATGGAGATGACCCACCAGTTCTTGTTCTGCCTTAGCCATTGCAAGCAGAAAAGTAAAGAAGACATGTCTTTACACTGTCATCATTACTCAAGAAAAAAAAAAGAAAAAAAAATACTTCAGGGTCCTCCCTAAGGAGGCATAAAATGATCAAACTAAAATGCGCAATCTCTTTTAAACTTTTAAAAGCTCAAAGTCTCCAGCCAAATATTTCCAGAAGAACTTTAGATAAGCAATACAAAATGCCAGCTATTCATAAAATTTAGTACATTGAAGTGAAATAAAATGAAATACAGTGGAGTGGAATAAAATGAATGCATATTTGGGGTGAAACTGTAGATTACATATTTTGTTCTTGTCAAATATAATAATTTTAATTCTGCTTACCTGTAGTTACATATATTTCAGAACAGATTTTCTCCATCATTTTACTCTGTCTAAAATACTCATGGCCTGCACCCATAGAATTAGCTGCCTATTTCAAGAAAATAAACTCCTGATCTATAATAAATATTTCTCTGTTTTTTATCATACTCTTTCAGCTTCCTTTCCCCTCTCTGACTCCTCCCTAGACAATTATCCTCTTACATAAGATCATAAATGTAGCCATTCTGAATCAGTCCAATGGTCAGTTACTCCTGGTTCAAACAGTGGCTAGTCAGATATGACAGGGAAACCTACTAGCAGCAACTGCAAACTATGGCCATCACCTTCTGACTGCTCCTCAGCATCTGTCAGTTACTGAATGCCTCTGAGTACAAAAGTCCAATTTGGTTAATTTGGCTAATATGGTTCATAACTAATGATAGACTTATTGTCCCTAAATTTGTCCGACCCCCTTCTGAAATCTTCTAAAATAGTAGTCATCGCCATATCTTGTGGTACTGAGTTCTACAAGTTAACTAGTCATTGTGGAAAGGAGTACATCCTATCATTAATCTACTTCTAATCACAGTGTAACAGCAAGTTCTAATCTAGAGCAGGGAGAAATGTTTCTGTCTATCCACTTTCTCTATGTCATGCATAATTCTGAAAACCTCTATTGTGTCACCATTCAGTTGCCATTTTCTAAACTAAAAAGTCCCAAATGTTCTAGCCCTGACAGAGGACAGGTACTCCCATTTGACTGCCCTTTTCAACATTTTTCCAGCACTTTAATATCCTTTTTGAGATGCAATGACCAGGACTGACCAAATGTGGCTACATCACAGGCTCATATAAGGATCCAGGGAAAGACCATGGCTCAGTGCATCTGCTTGGCATGTCAAAGTTCCCAGGTTCCATCCCCATCATTTCCAGTTAAAAACGCCAGGTAGTAAGTAATATAATAAACTTCTACTTAATACCCAGGAGAACCACTGCCATCATAGATTATACTGGCCTTGACAGATGAATGGGCTGAGTCAGTATTAGGCAGCTTTTCATGTGACATTGCTAAGGCAATTTTATTATTGACCCCTTTGAATTAACCCTAGCATGGAATTTGCCATTTTGATTGCCACTGCATGATGAGTCGACATTCTCAGTGAGCTATCCACCACAATCTCAGGGTCTTTTTTAAAAAATCTGTCACAACCATTTCAGATGCCATCAGTAAACATATAAAATAATTACGAATAATTATGAATTGTTTGACCTGCACTTCCTTACATTGATTATCATCTGCCATTTCTTTGCCTGTTCTCCAGTTTGGAGAAATCCTTGTGGAACTCCTCACCAACCCATATGTTTTCAACATCCTAAACAATTTGGTGTTATCTGCAATCTTTGCTGCCCAATACAGATACCTAGAGATTCCATTGCTCATCTCTCTCCAACTCAGAAGTTGTATATTTATTCCCACCCTCTGCTTCCTTTTTAAGCAGTTACATGTCTTCTTATCCAATGTTAAATTTACTCAGAAGCTTTTGGAGGGAACAGAAAGGATTAAGTTTGCTTTCACTTGAATATTTGGTCCAACTTGGCTTCCATACTGCAACACTGTTTTCAGGAGCATGCCAGATGACATTTTCCTTTGTTCATCTTGCTTCCTTGTTTCCTCCTGGTTTTTATGCTAAGTTTCATGAATGTGGTTTGGTATGATCTTTCTGGAAGGATTTAAGTCAATGTGCATTTGCATGCCATGTGGACAAGAAGGTGCACATTTTTCCAGGTCTTGTTCACAGTGGGTCCATTTTACTTGACTCACACCCCTGTAGCCACCATTCCCCTTACTACTGTAGGGCTGTTTTCAGCTAAGCTCTCCTTTTAGTTTTTTTTTAAAAGCAGTTTTTAAGCAGTTTTGGAGCAGTTTTGGAGAAGGAATAATTTGTTGGGCTGCTGCATGCTTAGTTAATACATGTTTACACTTCAGCATGTGTGCACAAATTAAAATACATATCCAGATTATGGAAAGGGCAATAATCATTGATAGAAAGCAAGGATTGGAGCAAGGTGTTGCAGAGCTGAAGCTGTTGGCCACATGGTTAATGACGGAAGATTAACCATACCAAGAAACTCTTTCCTCTGCCCTCCCTTATTAATGACACCTTCTCTCATGTACTCATAACTCAATCCTACTGTTTAATCACAATTTAGAATCATTATTTACCTGTAGTCCTTTAGGTCTCCACTCTACATAGGGATGAGAATGAGGTGGGAATAAAATGCTGGTAGATTTGTACATACCTCTTCTGATTGCACATTTTGGAAATCTCACTTATGTTAAAAATGTCCTGCCAATTGAAAACGAGCACAGAAAAGGTAGAAGTATTCTCCCTGCTGTGCTGGTTTTCTATTTTCAGATATATTTTTTTAATAGGAAAGAATATTAAATCCCAGAATCCTTACATCAGTTCCCCAACAGTGATTCCAATGTCGATGGAGAAATATGGGGAAAGGGGAGGGGTTAAACTGTAGAGTTTGGGGTGAATCCTGGAACACCAGCACCAACATCATGACATTACTTCTAATTTTTGCTGGCAGTGACATTGTGCACAAGTGCAAAGACATTGCACCTGTGCCCTCCCCCATTCCTTTAGAGTGGAGGATTCTACCATTTCATTCTTTTGCATCCAATGTCTTAGCCTCAAACCTATCACTTTCCTCTGACAGACTTTTCATCCTTTTTTTTTTAACAAGGAATTCCTTAACAACAACATTCCTCTGCTAGAAAACTGTTCTCTCTGTGCTCTGAATGTGTTATGGCTATTACACTTATATTTTGATTTTCTTCTGTTATAAACTTTAAGGTGGTTTACATAGGATTCCTAAGAGGTATTGGATCGAGTCACTGACCAATCTATCACCTCTTAAATTAAGCAAAGGTTTATGCAGGGCTATTTTTGGGCAGGAACGCACAGGAACGGAGTTCCGGCTGGTCCCCAAGTTGGCCACGCCCAGCAGGAACTCATTAGCATAATAGGCCACACCCAACAGCAGAAATCCATTAGGATTGGCTTTATTAGGGGTGTGCGGCCTAACATGCAAAGGAGTTCCTGCTACAAAAAAAAGCCCTGGGTTTTGACAACAAACGAGGTAAACAGAATAACAAGCAAAAGGTGGGTGTGGCTGGATAACCACACTTCTGGTAACATGGGGGTGCATCCTAATGAGCTGTGCTGGAGGGGTGTGGCCTAATATGTTAATGAGTTTCTGGTGTTGGGTGTGGCCTATTATGCTAATGAGTTCCTGCTGGGCTTTTTCTACAAAAAGAGCCCTAGGTTTATGTATTATATGTCCTTGATGCACACCATGCCACTGTATGGGTATGTGTATGTGCTTGAGAGAATAAGAGAGAGATTGATAGTGGGTATCTTTTAAAAATGTTTCTCTGGCATTTGTGTGTGAATTTTTTTTTTTACCCCTTTCTCCCAACCAGCAGTTGAGGTGGGGAGCCTGAACAGTGGAACCCCTGAGAGCAAAAATAATTTTTGGAGAGAAAGTGTCAGTATCTGAGGACATTGCTAAAGGGAATAGAAGAAAATCTGTTGGTATTGTTCCTCTGCCATTGAGGTAGTGGTCTTCTAAAAAGCCCCCCCCCATCAAATCCTTGATAGTCCATTACTTTTCTTTTTGATGTAGAAGTGTCTTAGTCAAGGTCCTTGGCTAAGAGAGGAAGCAGAAGTTTGGAGACTGGGTAGGAGAAGCATGGCATAAATACATAAATATTATTACTATTTCGGCACATGTGGCTGCCTGTTCAATATGACTGGGCAATGCCTGTAGTTTGCAGTAAATATTTAGCATTGTATCAGCTAATAGTGTTGTATTTCTCTAGCCAGAATACTTCCTCTGAGGCATGAAGTCTTCTGCCAGAAGCATGGTGCAGACTCACCTGAGTGCCACCACTTGCTGATTGGGGAAAGGCAGTAAGAAGAACATCCAGCAGGGCAAATGGGGTGGGCTGGGCTGGCCGGCCTCTTCCCAGTGGTTTTCCCCACCCACCCACTCTCCCACCCACCCTTAGTGTTTTGGTTGTTATGGGTCTTGTATTTTATTCCTTTCATCACAGCTTGGGAGATTTGAGCATTGGGATGGATCCTTTTTTAGGGGAGACCAGATCAGAGTTTCTGCCTCCCCCAGTTTGGGGACTCCCTTAAGGGGTCTCAGGGGTGAAGCCAATCAAACTGCATGCCCAGGTGGGGGGTGGCTGGCTGGCATCCACCACTAGGTGGCAAGGGGACCATGCAGCGCCCAGTGCCCACATGGATCCAGAGTCTTGCCACTCTGCATTGTCATCCCCCAGCAGGTGGCATGGGGGAGGTTGGTTATTGGGCAGCAGGTGGGTCACCCGATACTGGATCCGTCCCCATGCTGCGCCAATGCACCTTTGGCTGTATCCAACAAAAAAGCTGTGGCCCTGTTCTTACCAAGAATTGTGTATGTGTGTGTTTATTTTGCTGCATTGTCCTCTCTTCCCCCTGAGCTTGCAAGATGAGCTCTTACACCAGAGGAACATGTTACCATTAGCTGAGCAACTTATTGTGATTTTGTTCAGTATTTGTTTGAGTAATTTAAATCTCTATATGGATTTGAATAGCCTAGGAATCTCCAACCTTCAACTAAAAGAAAATTACAAAACTTGTGACTGCAGAGATATGTTTGCATGTACAAAATAATAACTTTCTGATGCAGCTCTACATGCATACACTCCAGTAGTGATAGAGGCAAAGCAGCCATATAGTGTTTCAAGGCACATTCTAGTAATGAATTTCTGTTGTTCCCTTTATATAGTGCTTTACTTTCTACAGAGAACTAGAGATTAGTCTTGACAAAATGTATAGATTTTTTTTTACCTAATATCACTTTCCCAAACCCGACTTTCATCCAAATCCTCAATAAACTTTTCGCCTTTCATCCAGTACATTAAAGGACTGACTTCTCCGCTGTATCCAAAGAATGCTCGGCAGGTTAGATTAGCAGAATGGCCTGTTGAAAAGAATTAATAATGAAAAGATGTTATTGCAAAACTTGCAAAAATGTTTCAAGTTAAGATCAACTGCTAAGTAATAGTTTTCCAGGCAAATCAAAGAAAGTATTACTTAAAAGCTTGTCTTAAAATAAAATGTTATAGATGCAGTGTTTATTTCACACCATTGTTGGACACATATTCTGCAAGAGAGAAAATGATCTAGAGCAAGCTACAGTCCAAAAACCCACTCTTTTAATAAAAGATCCTTGAAGTAAAATGAATTATTTCTAGAGGTGTTGCTTAACTCATACAAATTTGTATAGCTTGTAGTACTTGGAATTTTTTTTTTATATAAAAAAAATACAAAATTAGACTCCAGTAATATGTAGAATATAACTTTAGATTTAATATATTTTTAGACAAAATCCTAGGTGCAAAGCTCAGAGAGAGCTGAATTTACACTCGCAAAATTCACTGGTAAGGCTCTGCAGAACACTGGGCAAGCCCAAGGACATGCTAGAGCTTAAGGGGAAGAGAAGGTGTGCTATTGAGGCACACCTTGACCACAAATCTTTTTGAAATCAAATAGGGAGGGGTTTTTACTAATTTCTAATAAAGCTTCCATTAAAGCTGCAGTTTTTCAGATTAGAACAAAGAATTCATATACAGGCCTCTTCAACACCCAAAACTCAATAAATCCGCAATTAACATTAAACTTTATATAAAATATGTTTATACCAGGTTAATCCTTAAGCCTTGTAAAGTACATTTCCCATAATACTTCACAGGCCAGACTGTATTCCCTAAGCTCTTGCAGACAATCAACCATATGACAACTTGCAAAGTCAGGCCCACCACAGAGAACAATGGGAATGATAAGCTAATATTTATAGTCAGATGTATCACAAAGGAACTAGATATTAAAAGTGGGGGTCCACCAGACTTGTGGGGGCATCCTATCTGCCCCCCAGTCCCTCACTGAGCCCAGTGTGGAGCCCCAGGAGGCTTGCCCAGAGCAGCTCTGAGTGAGCCAGCAGAGACTGCCTCCCTGCTGCTCTCTGTGGCTTGCCTGGAACAGCTCTGAATAAGCCAGAACAGTCTCCCCTCCCCCAGTTCTCCACAGCTCACTGGAGAGTTGGGGGGGGAGACTGTGCTAGCTTGCTCAGAGCTGCTCTGGCTGAGCCACTGAGAGCAGCGGGGGGCAGTCTCTGCTGGTTCGCCTGGAGCTGCTCCAAGCAAGCCAGCCGAAACTTCCCCCCAGCCACTTTTGTGCCAGGCCCAGTGCAACTCGGGGGCCTCAATGCTGCCAGCAACATACCCCACTGGGCTCCCAGGCTGCATGGTTGCCACCAGGCCTAGTGTCAGCTAGGTCTTTCTCAAGCCCTGGCTGCCATGGGAGTGGGGTGACTCTGGAATGTTAAATTTCATTTCTGCGGTGTCTTCTATGTTTCTATTATCTCTGTATGACCTTCAGTGCCTGGTGTTCAGTTCAACCCAGTTATCTTTCTGGTAGTTGGGAACTGATTGCTGCAGGAGGCTTCCTGGCTGTGTCACTACTTGCTTGCTCCAGTGTGGCTCTCCAGTGTATCTACTGCCACCACTGGTGGTCCCATAGATACATCAGTCCCTGACCACTCAAGGCCTTAAAGGTCAGTACCAAAACCTTGAACTTGACTTGGCACTTCACTGGGACCCAGTGTAGCTGGCATAGCACAGGTTGTATATGTGCCATCAGTGACATTCCTGTCAGAGCTCGCACTGCTGTATTTTGGATCAGCTGGCGCTTCTGTGTCAGTCTCAAAGGCAGGCCAGCATAAAGTGAGTTACAGTAGTCTAGCCTGGAAGTAACTGTTGCATGGATTACCATGGCTAGGTCAGGGAATAACAGGAAAGGGGCCAATTGCCAAGCTAGCCACAGGTGAAAAAATGCCAGCCTGGAAATTTGTGTTACTTGGGCCTCCATATTCAAGGTGGCATCTAAGATCATGCCCAAACTCTTGATGTACTGTGTCAGTGGCACCCTGTCAAGAGTGGCATGTCTAAGCCCCAGCCCCAAAGCACCCCCCCAGCCACAGAACCTCCGTCTTAGTTGGATTCAGTCTCAACATGCTCCTTTTTAACCACCCCACCACTGCCTCCGGGCCCGCGGCCAAGTTTTGTGGGGTGGCAACTGGGTGGCCATTCAATATCAGGTACAGCTCAGTGTCTTCAACATACTGGTGACACCCAAGGCCAAAACTCCACGCCAGCTGGGCGAGGGGGCACATATATATTAAATCACATCAGACAGAGGAGTGACCCTGAGGGACCCTGCACATTAATGGGTGTCTAGAGCCATTCCTCTCCAGCACCACCCTCTGTCCCTGACCATGGGGACCGGTTTGAAACTTAGGGTGGACCTACTTGAAACTTATGGGGTCTTTAGATTAGAGGGAAGACTATATTCTGTGCAACATTGGTGCCATTATCTTCTTCATTATCTTTATAAGCAGCTGCCCCAGACTCTTGAATAGATTCCTCATTGAACATAACATTCCAGAACTGGAGAAAAAATAGATTTGCATTCCTAACCAGTAATGTCCTACCAGAAATTAAGCCATCACAGTAAAATCCTCCCTCCCCAAATCCTGCATATGAAGTTATTACTAAATTTTACTTGGCAAACATCCGTAGATGAAGTTCATTTTGGTAATTAGCATGCCTCAGAAGGTTGTCCAATGCCACCAGTCTTGCTAAATTTCTCTGGACTTCTTTCAGTTCATAAGATCTAATGAGTCTACAGTCTTTTGGCTCTTAGCCAAGAAACACATAAAAGACCATAGAGATGATATTCTCACCCTATAGGGTCCCATCAGCCACTTACAGGCACACATTAATGTGTATATGTTGATTTTTTTGGGGGGAGGAAAGATAACTGTACTGAATGAGCAGAGAAAGGGAGATGAAATGTCAAAAAGGCAACCCCCCAAAAGAGGACTCTCTTCTCATTAAATTCTTAGGGACTTTCCCTCCTGAATGAAATATTTAAGCATATTTTAAAACACAGAATCCAAAGTTTCTGTTCAACATAAAATATTTACACATGGGAAATAAATTAAAGAAAGAAGCACCATCTCCCAGCAATACTGTACAGATTACTGCTGAGCAAGGGCCATTAATATGCCAGGTGTTCGTCTGTAAATTAATTTGGAGGTTGTGGCTGCCTTATAATCTATATTTTCCAGCTTGATTGAGTTTTGTAACAAACTGTTTGGAAGGTCAGTAATATGGTTAGAAGATCCTAGGAAGGGTCTTCCTTATTAGCTTATATTGTTACAATGACCTTGTTAGTCACTCTAAGTAATGGCAAAAGAAATGGGGGATTTTAGTTTTTCCTTAATTTAGGAAAAGTGCTTGCCTGTTTTTTTGATCCTGAGCATGTATTTACTCACTGCAAGTCTACTGATTAATAGCAATTGCTTCTGATGAGGAGACAATTTTTCTCCAAGCCAGTTTTGCCAGGGATCCTGGAGGTTTTTCATCATCTTCTGAGCATAGAACAGGGGTCACTGGAGGGGTGTGTGGGGGAAGTATTTGTGAATTTCCTGCATTGTGCAGGGGGTTGGACTAGATTACCTTGGAGGTCTCTTCCAACTCTATGATTCTAGGGCATCAACTTAAAATTCACACAGACAGGCTGGTGACCACATAATTGTGTGTGTGTGTGTGTGTGTGTAATGGGCATGGACCGAATCGCAAAGCAAAATTCATGATAAATTTTGCCCTGTTTGTGATTCCTAAACAGAAGTTCATGATGGGTCTGCTCTCAAGAACTTCCATGAACTTTCAGAGCAGGTTTGTGCTGTTTGTGGTTTGTGCATGGGGCAGTGGTGTAGTGGTCAGGAGCGCAGACTCTGATCTGGGACAACTGGGTTTGATTCCCCACTCCTTCACATGCAACTGCTGGTGTGACCTTCGGTCAGTTACAAGTTCTTTCAGAGCTATTCTCTCAAAAGCAGTTCTCAAAAAAACTCAGCCCCACCTACATCACAGGGTGTCTGTTGTGGGGAGGCTAAGGGAAAGGAGATTGTAAGCCGCTCTGAGACTCCTTTGGGTATCGAAGGGTGGGATATAAATCCAATCTCTTCTCTTCTTTTTCTCTTCTTCTGCAGCCCTTTAAACTGCAGAAGATAGCCTTGAAAGAGCTGCGCAGCAGGGGGGCACTTCCCACCACACAGTTGTTTTGTGCTGTCTTCTGCAGTCTTCTGCAGGCTGTTTTGGAAGACAGCCCTGAACAGCTGATGGGCAGGGAGGTGCTCCCCACCCATCAGCTGTTTGGCACTGTCTTCTGCAGTCCATTTAAACTTTAAAAACTTTAAATTTGGCTGTTTTTCGGGCTATCTACAAACCCCGTTGAAAAGGACTGTGGTCCCTTTCAATGGGGTTTGTGGGGCCACGAACTGAGTAAACTAGTTTGGTCCATGGTTCACATTTTCACAGTTCATACCCATCCCTAATAGAATTGTATACAATTGTAAACTTTAGGCAGTCGTTCTTTGTTCTGACACGTACTTTCTTTACATGCAGAACAGTCTTCAAGTAGGATTTTCTCCGGAGGAAATATTTATATTCTTTAATCTTGCCCTCTAAAGTTGAACTGGGGTTCTCCATTCTTCCTTATACTCATCATCCAAATGGTTCACCTCAGTTTCCAAGGTCATCAATAGATAATTACATTTTGTTGATTCCCCCCCCTTAAAATGTACATAATTCCCTCTCAGTTATTATAGTAATCATTGTATCTCCGGCTGAGAATGGTGTAGTGCAGTACAACCCCAGAATTGGGCACTATCTGTAGTCGCTGGCAGTGTGCTGCAGGAGGGCCGCCTTTGCCTCCTCGTGAGGAGAAGAGGCTGGGCTGCAGTAAGCAGCTGGGTCCTTAGTTGGGGGCGGAGTTGGTGCCTCCTTAATGGCTGGCTATGCCCTTCATTCTCAGTCTGTGCCTCGTGCTCAGCCCATCTACCCGCCCTATCTGTAGCACAGGCTTTTGGCTGGTCGCCCTGTTGATGGGGGCCAGGTAGGAATTTTTTACCTCTTTTCTGATTGGCTGCTGAGAAGGGATGTTTTTTGCCTATCCTGTGCTGTGCTCAGTGGATTGTGGAATTGGCAGGGGTGGTGCCATATGATAAGTTTGTCACTTTATAGTTTGGGCTGTGTTATGTCTTTGGAGGGAGTTTATGTAGCTTGGTAAGCACCAATCAGCAACCCTGTGGGGGTGCAGGTGTCTGACAGAATCATCCCTGCTGCTGCGCGGCCAGGGATGAGGATGACAGAGTGCCTTAGGGATTTCCAGGGCAGATCCTCCATGCAGGCTGTGCAGTTGTGTTGGAGGGATCTTCATGGCACATCCTGTTGCTGTGCCAGCCGGGTGTGAGCCAATTACGGTTGGCTCCACCCAGGGGCAGGGTGGTTTGCCCACTGTATGGCCAGGGTGGGGTTATGGACCCCAGGCCTTGACCATGCCACTGTTTATTGTTTGCCCTTGCTGTTATGATGTTAAAATTAAATAAAGTGGTTTCCAAACCTGTGGTTGTCTGGCTCTTTCTTAAATCTGGGGGGGGGGGCAATGTTCCTATCTCAGTGCAACATGGCAAACATAGCTGTCTGCAATGTAAAGACTACGGGAATCATCTACATATCAGCATGTCTGATCCAAAGCCACCCCCCAGGAGTGTTAGTGCAGACATAGCCTTTTTTGTGCATTTGGTAAGGTATTTCCCTCAGCTCAACATGCCTGAGAATTCAAATTATTATTCAAATTATCATCCATCTTTCCCTGAAAGATGCAGAATAGTTCACTTGGGCTTTTTTCAGACACAGAGGTAAGAAAAGATGAAAGCAGATAACTGACAAAAATGAGAGTCCATTTTGCAATGTGAACACATGCTTGGAAACCACATCCATGTTGCAGCTGCCAGATGACTGTGGCACTCAAATGTGTGGATGCAACAAAGGAAGCATTTGCTAAACACATGAAAGTATGTGGATATATTATTTCCTTAAAAAAACTCAGTATGAAAAATGCATTGTCACATATCTGTACATTTTCTTTGCCCTTTATTCAAGTTGGTTTGCTGCAGCTATGGACAGATTTTACTCTAGGTGACAGAGAATAATGACCCAAGAATAGCTGGTTATTGGGAACCTGCCTCTATGCTGTGTGTTGGGTCAGATAACCTTTTAGTTTCTTCCTGCCATGCAGAGCTAAGAACTCTAGCAGATTTGATCCTTTATACATTAGTCATCTTATAAAACAACCTCATCTTTGCAAATGGTAGGTAATTCAGACACAGCCTTAAGCAAGTATTCCTTTTATAAATGCATTTTTGACTTAAGCTTTAAACATGTGGTCTAAAATGATGCAATTTGGACAATGTCTGGGCACATTACAGCTCCTGTGAAGTCATTTTTTATTTCTTGTAGATGCACTGTTATTACAATTTTATATATCCTTTCTTTAAAAGAGCTTAACTTACATTTGCTAACAAGGGTATTCAATTTTTCCTCCTCTTGTCTTCCTCTATTTTATTTGCTGAATCATGGCATGAAATCTCAAGATACTACTTTGATCTACATTATCTTCTTCCTAATCTTACTTACTAATATCTTAAAACAAGATCAGCCATTATTTAAATGATCCTGCTTTTTAGAAGCAAATACAGATTTCTGAAATATAAAAAAGAGACAGATATTAAAGACTTCTGTTTCTTTGACAATATCAGTGTTTACCTGAGTACATAAATAATAATGAAACTTAAATATAAAGATGTTTCTGCACATAAATAAGCTATTTTGAGTTAGTGTATTTTCTGTGCAAATCGGAATGAACAGGACAAAATAACTGTACAAGGTTCTTCTGGTAAAAGATGTACTTTCAGCTCTAACTAATTGGATTCAGGCAGAAGCTCTTTGAAATTAATCAAAACATCTCTGCTGTCTAAAATGGGAGTCATTCTTGTTATGTGTCCTGGTTTCAAAGCAAACAGAATGTAAGGAGGACCTTGCAGCAGCAGAACATATTATCTAGAAGACAGCCAATAGCATCAGCAATGACAGCATTTGGTCTCAACACTAATTAGTGAAGTGCTGGGCATTTTCTAGCCATTGCCACATCTCCTTTCCTCCACTAGAGGACACTGTCTGTCTTTCTAAAGCCAGAGCCATTCCTTTTTAATCCAAAGAAATTGCCCCATTTATAAACTCTAATTAAAAATGTCAACATTCAAATAACATGATCCTTGCAATTAGCAAATAGTGAATGTTTTGTGCCTGAGTAAAATACCTTGTACGGACATCTTAAATTACTTTGTACCCAGGTAGAACAAAGTTAGAGTCCAGTGGCATCTTTAAGACCAACAAAGTTTTATTCAAGGTGTGAGCTTTCATGTGCCCAGGTAGTCATACATGTTAGAATATGCTACCATAACATCCATGTTTGTCCCTTTTTTGAGAGCAGTTATCACTGAAGGGTACTATTTCTGTGAAAAGTGATGATAATTAGGAAAAGTTCTCATTCCAATTTAAATAAACTCTCCATAGGGACCTTACAATACTTGGCAATCCTAGTTGTTATTTCAGATTAACTAAAAACACACACACATAAAAACATATCATTTGGTAATATAAGCCAATGTATTACAATACACACAGATGCCACAGAGGTCCAAAGAATCTGGATGTTCATTTTAATAGCGATCTAAATTATATAAAGGGATTCTGTCAAGGCTGACAGAACTAAAAAACTTTCACTCCTACACATTTGCTCACTTTCTTTACCCTCTTTTTTCCTCTTCCTCTCATGATGAAGAGGAAAAAGTTTTTTTAAAAACAACAACAACAACAACAACGATCAGTCTGCCAAAATGAGGGCTGCCTGAATGTTTTAGCTTTTGGGAGTTCAGCTAAGGCAGAACATGTTACCTTGGCAAGGTATTGTTGCTTTGTAGAACTGGCTATTGAGGGAATGTAAACTCTTCCCCCACTGCTGATTATCCTCAGCTACCTCTCCCAGGCAATTCCCTTCAACACCTGGATTTATTTCCAGTCTTGGAGTTGGCAGGAGTGAAAAGGGGGAGGGGGGAAACACCTATGGGTGGAAAGACTGTAGAACTGGTGAACTGAAGTTTGGTTAAGCACCTCTTATCACCCTGTTGAATCTTCTCTGCAGATACTAGCAGCATAAAGCAAATACAGGGATGGAAACTGCATGATTGTCCCATAACGTCCAGTTCCAACTTAAGCTACAGAAAGTATCTGTTTTGTATATATGGCCCTATATGTCCTCCCAGTAGTAATCCAGGCATATAAACACAATAAATATTTCTGAGTTTAAACCATATTTTACCAGTGGCCACTGATGATGTTCTGTAGTTATATAGAGGTACCAGTGCCTACTAGGGTGTACCCAAGAGTCTTTTTGCCTGCTAAATTTGATACCATTGAGTTATGGATTCACTAAGTGGCCTTGGACTCCACTAAATATGAAATAATATTTTGATTTGTGCATGGTCATTGTACCTACCTTGACTCACTATACCCTTTGATGAAGGATTGTCTTCGAAATGGTCTTAACATTATGCATGATACCATCAGGGTATACTGGACAGTATTTTCTCTATGGACTAGGAGGGCTTGTGCTTGTAGACTATTTTGGATTGTACTACTTTAAGAATCATCATTCTGTGATTTGTGTGACTCTATGATGTGCATTACATTCAATTCACACAGATTGTACACAATTACAACTGCTCTTCAGGTAGCAGAGATCAGTTCCTCTGGAGAAAACAGTGGACTCTGTCATTATACCCTGCTGAGGTCACCACAGCAAATTGACACTGTTTGCCCAAAGCCAGAGCACTGCCCCAGAGCCTCTTTCTAGATCTCGTTGTATTGCTTTCACAACGGGCTTTACTGCTAGTGCCAAATTTTAGAATAGTCATCAGAATTTGGAACTGGTAGAAGCGGACTGTGTTTTCCATATTTCGGATTTCAAATTTAAGCAGCAATTCTGATGTTGATATGTGAAGCACACAACAGAAACCTGAGAGTTCATAATCTTAAAGAAGGATTAGGAGAAGAAAGAAAACTGAAGCAATGTACTTTATTGACAGCTGATTTGACAGGTTTTTTCTCCTTCACAGCTATATGAATGATGCTAAAAAGAGAAGAACCTGAAAGCTTAAGATCACTAGAATATAAAATGTCATTAACTAGAATTTCACTTACAATTTGCAAGGTGTTTGATACAAAATACTTATGAAATAGCCACGTTGGTAAATTAGTGCACTTAATTGTGCATTGTACACAATTAATTTAATATTTATGGTGATGCCATTAATTATCGGTTGCAAGAAAAATACCTCATTAGAGCACAGGCCACTATACTAGAGGCTACCTACATGGAACATTGCTGAAATATCCTTCTGAAATAAAACTGGGAAATTCAGTGATTAAGACAGCAGCCCAGTCCAGGTCTAGTTAGTTTATTCAGTGGAGCTTGCTGTCAGGAAATTCCTGATGGTAAGACTGCTAACTCTGAGTTGTGAAATTCCTGGAGATTTGGGGGGTAGAACTGAGGGAAGGCAACTTTCGGGGGGGGGGCTCAGCAGGGTATAAGGCACCCTCCATAGCATCCATTTTATCCAGGGGCAATGATCTCTGTCATCTGGAGATCAGTTGCAATTCCAGGAGGTCTCCAGGCCCCACCTGGACGTTGCCAGCTCTACCTGATAGTGGTGATCAAAAACAAATGGGACAAAGGTAATAGATTTCATCATCAACATTTATTACAATCAAAACATCAGCCAACATCAATTTAACAGCACAGTTTACATACAAATGTAAAATTAATATACAAAGATTAAAAATTCATAGCCTTATTGCGGAGTAATTAATTATACATAAAACGTTATTAAAAGGTTTGGAATTACTGCTTTCTTATAGAAAAAGCCTCAACACAGAATTTGGCCACTTTAGAGGTGGTCTCATAGGAGTGGTCTGTAAGGAGATGTGTATAGAATTTATCAGATCTTCCTGAAAACATGGATAGAGTAGGGGTGAGATATGTGAAACTGATGTCCCTGGAAAATGGATAGTATAATAACACGTGTTCCACTGTTTCACTGTGTTCAACTGGCAGTAACACAGACTTGGAGAATATGTAATAAAAGAAGGGCGACCTGCAATACTCGTGAGGGTATTCCCCACAGCTCCTGGATTGCCAAGGCTTCTACCACCACCCACAACTGCAACAGTATCCCCCATATATTTTTTTTAACTTTTCAGATTTTTCTGCACACCTGGGGACTGCTCCAAGTGTGCAAGAAAATCTCTCTGCCCCCCAAGTGCCCCTGATGTGCGGATTTAGATATCCGCACAGAGGGGGCAACTTGGCTATTAGATATATAGATGTAAGTATCTCCCTTCTAGTAATGCTGAGAGCAGGCAATTAAGTCAGGCTCAGGTGAAAGCTCTGTGGTATATGGGGAGTTCTAGAGTTTGAAGATAGTTCACAGGCACAAAATTTTGGCTATGATTACCTAATGGAAGACAGAGATGTGCCTGAGTTCGATCAGCTTGAAGAGCTATATCCCAGATTCATTGTTTGAGTATTTCTTTAGCTCCCATGAACCCAAAATGGCATATTGCTAAGGAGGAGAAGCGCAAAAGTTGTATTTTAGTCTCAACCGCATCCATCCGACCTGAGCAGTAGCTATCTAAAAGAATTAAAGGGGTTAATCCAGACGGGTAAAGCAAAAAACATATGGTACCAGTTTTGAGCTTCAAGTGACATCTGGCCTGATTCTATTCTAATAATTGTATTTGGTGCGCAGCAAGGAACACCAAATATGCATCTAAGGAACTTAGACTAAATTGCTTTTAAGGGACAGAAGTCTTTGGTAAACAGATTTGTGAACTGTACAGGAATTGAGGTGTTACTTTACCTTAGAAAACTTTTATTACATAGGAAATATATGAGCCCCCTTATGAGCAGAAAAATCTCAGACTAGCTGATGCCAGTCTTTGAATACTTTCAGTAACCTGAGTCATCTGAGCCCTCCACAAACCTATCAACTGAAACACTACACCTAGGTAAATACAACCTATTCTATGTTGTGGCCATCTATGTTAAACATATCTCCTGGTGAAGATTAGAATCTTGGTCTTTTGGAAATTTATTGTTACTAGTTCTGCTTTGTAGTATGCAGTAATATCCCAAAGAGCTCTTCTAAAACCTACATCTGAATAGGGTAGAATGGCTGTGTTGTTAGAAGCCAGACCCCTCCTCCCACAAAGGGGCTGTTTAGTGCTTAGAGAGATGGAGTCATAAACACCGTTAATACACATATCACCACACAAATCATAAATATAATACACTGTCTGGCCTAACATGACACAAAATGGATGCCAGTCAGAGACAAGCCTGGGAAAATATTTCTTTATTTTTGAAGGTGAGTCACAAGCAGCTGACTGACTAATGACCCATTCTACACTCTGAGGAGATGCATAATTTCAGTAGCAATTGATATCTTAAAACCTTAGATTAACCTCATCACATGCCCAGCCTCACTTCCCCCTTACCAATTTACCCCAGTTTAGTAACTCTTAATAGTATTCATAAAAACCTGGTAGTTTCCCTGTCCAGTACTTAAAGGATCGTCAAGAACCATTAACATCGCCTGGCTCAGGCGATTTCATCAAAGTTTCACCCAAGTTATTTTTCATCCCCCCCAAAAGTAATCAAGTCATTGTTTTGGGGCAAGCACATCAGCATAGCCCCAGGGAACATTTTTTCCCTATAATTGCCAGCATCCTGAGCCATAGCAGTGTGTGTGTGTGTGTTCCTGGATCCAGAACTTGCACCCTCCATTGTGTGTGGTCTTCTCTGGCTTGCCTCTCCATGAAATGCTGGTCATTTCATTGCTCCTTCCATGGACCTCATTCATCTAGACTGGTAACTACTGCCTCTCTGAAATCACTCTCTCCCTCTCCTCCCTGATTTCCTTTTAGCTAGGTTGTGTGTTTTGCACTGTGTTTGTATGTGTGTTTTTGCCTTTTATTCTTTCTCAATAAAAACCCTGCTGGGTGAACATCTGCCTTGTTTATTTTGAGAGTTCCCTAAGGGAAAGATCCCCATAAACATTAGTGGAGAAACCAGTTACCCACCTCTCACTCTGTCTCTGTAAAGCTAATCTCCCCAAATAAATGGGAGACTGCCTCTTTGGGTAACAATGTTATCTGTGTACAATGGCAGGTATCTGTCTGCTTGCTAAATCTGGCAGATGAAAATCTGGATTCACCAGAGCTCAAACCATTTAATTGATATAAAAATTACAGTAGAGGGGCCAGAATACAGGCTTGCTTCACTCCCCTCTTGACAGGGACCCTGCAAGATAGGTGACCCTATTGGCTACGTCTAACAGTCAGGAAAATGTTTTTGTGCAATATATGGGTAAGGATGAGTAGTCTATGATCTACTGAGGATGCCTCTAATTTAGCCCATAATCTATCCTGGATGATACTATCAAAAGCCATTTTGTTATCTACAAGGGCCACATAGAGTGCCCCATGGGACCCGGCACTATATTTCATAGCCAGATGATATGTAAAATCAGGCATTGATCCAGAGTAGAGTGATTGGGCCTAAAGCATGCTTGTTCCTTGACTATGATGTTCTCTCCATCTAACCAGTCCCCAAACCTCCAGCACAAGTGCCTGGTACAAAGCTTACTCACTACACTGAGCAAGCTAATTGGGCAGTGATTAGAGGGGTTAGATTTGTCCCCTTTTTTGTACATTGAGCCAATAATGGCCAGGCACCAATCAGAGGGGATCCGTATCATATGGTCAATAGTTGTGAAAAGCGCAGCCAACATGTAACAGGTTTGACAGAACTAGTGTGTGAGAACGCAACTCAACATCTTGACCAAACCTGGTTTAAGAATAATGATAAAATAAGTAGGTAGACTGTAGGTAAAACATAGGCCATAGTAAAGCAATATTAGTGTTCTGTAATGTTCTTCTCAGCAATTTCATTTTAAATGGAATAGCAAGGAACCATTAATTTTTTTTAAAAAAAATCCACATGGTTTCTTCTTTTCCTGAGGGTAGTCTCTGGCATCAAGCTAATTTATTCACTCCAGGCACATATTCCACATCATATTCAGCGGATATCATTAAAATGTCAACATTTACTAACAGCTTCCACCCAGACACTGAAGTGACTGTACTTTTCCTTCCAGTAAAAATAAGCATGTCAAAACTCATTGTGAGATAACTGTTGAAAAACACTATCTTTTTAGGTAGGGATTCTTGTTTGGTTTCCAGACTTAAAAGTCTCTGTACTAATCAGAAATGTTTCATTTCTCACAGTGATAATTTTCTGCAGGTTAAGGAGAGCTTGCATTAACCCACTATTCTTATCCTGGTACAGGGCATGTTTTTCCAGTCTCTCTTTGTTCATTTTAAATACATGCATTAAAATGCAAAATTAATCAAAGAAATCAACAGACAATTAAAATACCAATACCAGTTTTCAAAGATATCCTTTGCAGTGACCTAGAAAAAGAGGTTAGTCATCACTCACAAACAATAGCCTCCCCGTCATTTGCAATGTTTGGTTGTTCAAAAGTATGTGTGCTCTATGAACACAAAGAGGAGTAGTTCCCATGTACATTTGTGTGTTTATCCAACAGGTGCAGTGATCTGTACACATAAATGTTTAGTATACATGATCGGGCCCCTGATTTTTTCAGAGTTAGGAACTTGCATGTACAAAGCCCTACTTGCATGTACACAGCCCAAGCTCACATATGGATTTGCACAGGCTTTGCTGTAGGCATTCAGCAGTATAATCAAACATCCAGAGGGAGGGCTAGTTGCCTACTTTCTCCTTGACTTGGGACAATTCATTGTCACTAACTTGAAGAAATAGTTCTAGTATATTTCTTTCCTTTAACAAGGGGCATTCAGGTTTAATTTGGCTAACAGCAGAGTGTGTTTGCCCCCAGTGTCGCCAATCTTTTCATGGCCAAATTTGAATCAGACTGGCTTTTCAATCCCACTACCAATCCCTTTTTTTATTATATAATTCTCTTTAAGATATTTATTGATGATTTATTTCTTATTTTTACGGACATTATGAAATTTCAAGCATTCGTGGATTGGCTCAATCAAAGACATCCGACTATAAAATTTACTTCACAATATAGCTCTTCTGAAATTAATTTTTTAGATACCACAGTATTTATTACACGTTCTGGCAATCCAGCAGTTAAGGTTTCCAACAAACCATCAGACAGAAATTCATATTTACATTTCAGTTCTCACCATGTGAGACATTTAAAGCATAATCTCCCTTATGGGCAATACCTTTATGTAAAGCGGAACTGCCCATTTTCTACACATTATGAGATAGAACATGATAAACTCACTAACCAATTTTTAAAATGGGGTTATCCCCCTCATGTTATTCAAACTGCCTCTTTAAGAGCACAGTCTAGAACATGTAAGAGCCTCTTTGAACCAGTTTCCATTCAGTCTCGATCTAACAATATTTTTTGTGCTTTTGAATATTCCCTGTTTGCTGAACAAATTAAAAAAATCATTTTGAGACATTGGCATATTGTAGGTGACATTCCCAGCTGTACAGAAAAGCCTTCTATAGGATTTAGAAAGACCAGGAGTCTCCACAATATTCTTATAAGAGCTGACATTGCCCCTTCTGTTAGATTGTTACCAGCAGGTCCCAGCCATTATCGCTGCAGGAGATGTTTCATATGTGCGCAAACATGGGAGACTAATAGAGTGATTCTCCCTAAGCTCAATTTTGAAATGGAATTTAAGCATTTCTCTAATTGTGCATCCAAAAGGGTAATATACCTTATTCCCCGTGAAAAATATTATGTTCAGATATCTACACGCACTATATGAACTCGTATCATACAACACAGATCACGGATATGCCAACAACATTTGGATTCCCCTTTGGTGCCCCATTTTATTGAGAAGGGCCATAATTATAATGATTTTGTATATATAGTTCTTGAGACTTTTGTTACTAACAAATATAATAGAATTGATGTAAAAAAGATATTGTGTAGACGCGAAGCATTCTGGATTCACCTCTTAAAATCATATTATCCTTATGGGCTCAACCATACCATAGAATTCTTGTGCTTTTTGTAAAACATTTTGTTACTGTTCCTTTAATTCTGATGATGGACCTGCAGGATAATTAATAACTTTATTGGGCATTTGTATTTAATTAACTGAGAAGAAATTGACTCATAAAGGCATTCCAGTGGTTGTAAAAAAATAGATATCATGTCCTAAATTTTGGACTGGTGTCCTACTAAGAAGATCATCCTGTTGATTATTTTGAACTTCCATTGGTGAGTTTTAGATATGTTGATACGATATTTCATAATTTATAATATTATTAATATTATTATTATACAAAAAATTGGGGGCTTTCTTTTTTCTAGAGTATTATGACATTGATGTATCACCACAAGAAGAAGAGACATAACACCAGGATGGTATTTGTAATTTATTTTTATCCAGTTTGGCACATGATTTGCTAATAACTGCTTTTGTAATTCTTGCGTATACCTTGGCTATCATATTGTTTTTGCATCTCTCTCAGTAATATATTTCTGAAGAAGCAGTTTGAACGAAACAAAGCATTAATCCATAATCATCGTGTTTATATTGCCTTGTATTTTTACTATATTTTTGTAACATGTTTTGTTATTAATATCTATTTGAAATATTGTCACTTTAACATACTGTTTTTCAGTGTCTTTTTTATCAGCTTGCCTTCTATTTCTATTTTGTTCCTAGCTGGGAAGTCTCTATATATACAGTCTGAATTCAGCATTGGCTGAGAGCAGTTTGAATACGAACAGAGAATTGGGGAAAGTTTGGCAAAGAGGTTTGGGAAGTAGAATAAGACTCCCATTCAGGCCAAAAGAAAGGTTATAGATCTTCTAGAGAGAAGAAGAAGAATCCCTACCCAGTCAAACAGGGAGAGTTATCTCTGAGGAGTACAAAGATCCCTGGTCTGGTATGATTTAAAGATCTAAAGGTCAGTGAACAACTCAAGAAGAGTACTGGTGTATCAAGAAAAGGTGCTTGGGTACTGGGCAAAGGGTACCAGTGTTCTGGGCACCAAAAGAGTCAGCAATTATAAAAATAAGGTGTTAGAGTGTTTGGGAAAACACTGGATCAAAAGCCTCTCAATATTAAGATCTAAGTAACTGTGAATAATTTAAGAACCTCTCATTAGCCTGATATAAGAATAAAAGTCTGTGCATATTCTGTTTTTATGTTTCAACCCCTGCTTTCATTTGAACTTTCCCCCTTGATGTTAAATAAAATCTTCTGTTATTTTTGAATTTTAAAAGCATCTCAAGTGCAATTTTCAAGGTTTTAAGTTATAGGGTGATCCTATCCCTTCCCTCAGGTTCCTAGGCTGAGTAAATATCCAATATATATTACTGCCAAAGGGTGGGGCAACCAAAGTTTCTTCAGGAGAGAAGTAAACACTTTTCCAGGGCTGCTCACTTAGTGAAGGGACAAATAAAAATGGAGGGAAAATCTAGCCTCTGGGGTAGGGAAGTGGATGGTGTCCATCATAGTATCCTTACCAGGTTTTGATACAACAATCATTTTGGATTCAGCCCATGATAAAGGAAGCTCCTTTTCCTTAAAAATCCTATTAATAGTTTCTGATAAAGGTATGGCAACAATTGGAGTACAGGACTAGTGGAATTCTGGTGTGAGACTATTTAGTCCAGGTGCCTTATTTGCCCCCCCCCCCAGTCAGGAACTCCGTTGTCTTTAATCTTTTTTATTGTGTCAATCACTTCCTGAAATTTTATTGGTGAATTCATTAACCTCCTATCAGTTTCTGATAATTTAGGAATATTTGTTTTGCCTAAACAGTTAGATATGAGATTCTGGTGATTGTGTAGTATAAAGAGTTTTATAAAAGTCTCAAAACTGGTCAATTATTTGGTCAGTATCAGTAACAATAGATCCATTTTTAGTCTTAACAGCATCTGTGTTTCTAGCCTTCTTATTATTCACTTTATGTACCAATAATTTCCCTGACTTGTTTCTGTATTCATAGTACCTTTGTTATCAGTGTATGGTATGGCTTGTATTGATGTTTTACAAACTGATCTCAGTAAAGGTCAAGAAATTAGAAACAAATCAATTCCTAAGGAGAAAGTATATGCAGTACTGCAAAAATTATAGTCTCTTTCATTTGGGTTATAATACACAAAACATGTTTTAAATTTAGAGATTTAATATCTCCTTTAAATATCTAGGCTAATGTCCTTCCCATGTTTTTCCTTTCCCCAGGCCTATCAAGATAATTATTCATTACCAGATTTAAATATCTTCGAAGTATTAGCTCGCTGTCTACAAAATGTCAATTATCATCTAAAGATTTTTAAAGAAGTGATTCTAATTTGTATTTGGAGCATACATATTTCCTATGGCCAAACTCTGTGTTTTTATTTTCCCGTGCGACATCTAGACATGACCATTGGGATCCACATATGTGTTACTTACTTTAAAATAAGAACAATTTATATGAATAACTACATATGCCCTTTAAAACTTGAAGAAGCTACATAGCATCTATATATTAATGGCCAAGTTGGCCAAATTTGTGGATACTTAAATCCAACTATACTTTAATGTAGCTGTGAAGGGGCAAGGCAGATCTTTCTATAAACCTGAAAAGGGTCCCAGGTTTGCAGAAAACAAGAAGAAAAATAAAAAAACACACCTGAAAATGATAAAAGGAATACCTGTAGCTTTAAGCAATATGTTCCCTTGGTGGCTGCTACTGGGCAACTACAGCATTCCAAGCTCCATCAATGAAAGGCAGGGGGAGGGGACCCTTTCCAGGACTATTTTGGCCTTTGAGGGAGGACTCCTTGGGACCAGGCCTGACTAGGGTTGCCAACTCCAGGTTGGGAAATTCCTGAACATTTTGTGGTAGAGTCCAAGGTGGGCAGGCTTTGTGGAAGGGAGAGGCTTCAGTCAGATATAATGTTATAGAATGCGCCCATCAAAGTAGGCATTTTCTACACAGGGACAAATCGATGTCATCTGGAGTTCAGTTATAATTCCATGACATTTCCAGATCCCACCCAAAAGCTGGCAATCCTAGGCCTGGAAGGAGCCTCTGGGTGACTTAAAAGAATCCAGTTTGCATCTCAACTAGGCCTGGCTGCTTGCCAATGTTCAACAGCAGCCACCCTATGAAAGCCACTGTCATATAGTGGTTAGAGCATCAGAGTAGAGTCTGGTAGACCCATGTTCAAATCCCTGTCTTTCTGCAGAAGCTCACTGGGTGATTTTCAACCCGTCACATACTATCAGCCTGATCTACCTCATGGGGCTGTTGTGCAGATAAAAATGAGGAGAGGAAAATAATGTAAGCTGCTTTGATCCCCACTGTGAAGAAAGGTGGGGTATAAATGAAGTAAATAAATACAGCTGAAGATGGGAGGCAAATAAAGGTTGATTGGTGAATGGCTGAGAAAGAAATAGTGTGGGAAGGGGGAAATGGCAAGGTGAGGCACTCCCACAAGTTCTTGAGGGTACCCAAGCATGCAAATGGGATTGGCCCAGTGGATGGCACCACACAACTGGGCCATAGTTTTCCTAGGGAGACACTGCAGGGGAAGAGAAGGACAGCTTAAGACAGAGGGACAGATAAAGGTAGGTTGGCTGTTGGGTGGGAAGGAGAAAGGGCTGCCAACTCTAGGTTAGGAAATTCTTAGAGATTTGGGAGGTGAAGCCTGGAGAGGGGAGGGTTTGAGGAGGGGAGGGACCTCAGAAGGGTATAATGCAATAGACTTCTCCCTCCAAAGGAGCCATTGCCTCCAGGGGATATAGGGTTGCCAACCTACAGATGTTCTCCAGGTGACCAAGAGCCGTTACCCTGAGAAAATGACTGATTATGTGAAGATGTTATAAGATGCACACTTAGCATGATTGTTATTTCTTTCTTCAATTTATAGAAAACTTCTGTTTTCCTTTTTGCAGGTTCATTAATTCCTTTTACATTAAGAGAAAAAAACTTCATTAACTTCATTTTTTTATATATTCCCTCCTCAAATTAAATTAAAGTGACTAGATTCAGGGCAAGTTGCTTAACAGTTAATTAAAACTTAAGGCAAGAAGATCTGGTTAATAACTTGTTCTACTTTCTCTACAGTCTTAATGTGTAATTTACATCTTTTACTCTAAATTGTAATCCAAAGGGAAATCCCTATAGCTGATATTGTTATTTCTAAGCCTGTCTGTGAAAAAAATCTTTTTAAAAATTATTTATTTACTTAACTTTAAACTGTTTATTGAAGATTGAAATAAAATACAATGTGGTACTTAGTAAAGCATGAATGAAAACAATTACAAAATGATCATTAAGTTTGTGATCAATCAAGGATTACCATTACAAGTTATCTGCTAAATTTATTCTTTTTTGAAGTATCAAAAGGGCTATATCAAAGAAAACTTGTACATTTTCACCCTTAAATTCCAATGGAGTTTCTCATAATTTACCAAGTACTATTTCTTTCATGGCAACTGTTTCAAAAGTAGCAATAATATCATGGCATACCTGTCTTTTTCTAGCTATTTGAGAATTAACTTTAAAGGACTGCACAACCTTAACCTCATCTGCATGTTTGCAACCAACACCACCTGTAAATAAATTATCCAAATAAATGGTCAAATTATCTCCTTCCCCCTTCTATCTCATCCCTTTATTTTTCAAACATGACCTTCAACTGTTGTTATCAAGCTGCTCTATTATCTATATATCTAATACCGAAAATGCCCCCTCTGTGCGGATATCTAAATCCGCACATCGGGGGCACCTGGGGGGCAGGGAGATTTTCCTGCACACGTGGTGCAATGCCCAGGTGTGCAGAAAAATCTGAAAACCTAAAAAAAATATCGGGGGGGATGTTTAAATCCCCCCGAAACTAACAGAGCGTCCCCTGCGCATGTGCAGGGAACGCTCTGCGAACACCAACGCCGCTTCGGAGCGGCTGCTCTTCCCCCCCGAAACGAGCCGCTGCTTCCCCAGGGGAAGAGCAGCGAGGGCCGAGCGGCAAGTAAAGCGCAAGCTCTGCCTGTCGAACTTCTCCCTGAAGTGCAGGATCCCTTCTAAGCTGGAAGAGAGCCAGCAGGGCGCTTGCTTGGGCGAACTCCCGTGCCCTGTCTCATCCGTTCCGCTGGGCTGTGGGCAGAGATAAGGCGTCAGCCAGGCAGAGGCAGAGCTAGGCCAGGCGGGGCCTGGTGGCGAAGGCTGAGGGGCGGCTGTGTTCTTCCCTCCGGCCGCAGAGGGGACTCCTGGAGGCGCAACGGGAAAGTCGCTCTGCGCCCAGCGGCTCCCCGGAGGCCATGGCCCGGCTGCTCAGAAGACTTCCCGGCGTGCAGCGGCTGCTCTTTCAGGCACCCCAAGCCGTCGGCGGCAGCAGCAACGCCTGGCTGAGCTCCCGCACGGCTCACTCCGACACGGGTAGCTGCTCCGAGCGGCCAAGGGCACCAACGGCGGGCTCCTGCACCTGGTTTTCTGCGTCGTGCTTGGGTCAGCACAGGGCAAGCAGTCGCGAGGCTTTCCCGTCCTGGATGAGGTGCAACCCTCAGCAGGTCTACTCCATGGTAGTCACTGCGGCTTACCGCTAAGTACGGCGTTCTTGGCAATCCCAAGGACACTTTCTTGGCGGAGGCGCTGCTAAATAACAGCTTCTCTTCCCCGCCCCAGGCTTCGGAGCGGGGGGGGGAAGAGCAGCGAGGGCCGGGGAGGGGAGAGGCAAGGGGGGGATGAGGGGAGGGGTGGAGGAGACAGGGGAACCGGCGGGGTGGGGGGGGACTTACCTCCTCCCCCTCCCCCCCACGAGTATCGTGGGTCCACCCCTTGTCTCCTCTAATTCAATAATCTTATTGTCATTCCTGTGTAATGCAGTTTAACTCAAATGCTTGCACTAAGCATTTATATCTTTAATTTTAACTGCTCAAAATTTATCTCTTGGTTTCTAAATTCTCAGATATTTTTCAAGTTTTCATTAAACTCCAGCCTTTTATCTATAGAGTCAGTCTTTTTATCCCAATTGTAGTCATCAGTTCTTCAATTTTTTAAAATTTTGAGACTATCAATACCATAAAATCACTCAAAAAGAAGGTGGGCTCCTCAGAATGGAAGCTCTCTAACATTTCTTGGCTTTTTTGCTTCTTAGTCATTTACTACTCTTTGTTGGTATAACAATATTAACTCAGTCACTTACAATCCCCCCCAACTAATGTAAGAAACCTTAAATGACAAAGGTCAGCATATTTAATACCTATTCTTGCTACCTATCCCTATCAACTAGTAGATCCTAAAACTTTAAATCTTAAAGCCTATAGTTAAACAATGAAACCTCACAGCCTTTAATTAAGTAACTTAGATCTGTCCCTAAGGCACCTTAACAATCTCAGTTAATTATTTAGTCACATAATATTAACCGCTAGAAAAGAAAGAAATCAGCTATCAGTCTAAACCGGGCAGACTAATGTGCCAGGCCTCACCCAGATCCTTGTTTGCGGCATGGCCACAGGCCACCAGTTCAAAGAAATAACAGAGGCCCCAGGAAGATGCCTCGAAGCCTCCTGCCTCCCCCATGAAATGTCAGTTCCCCCTTCTCAGTTCCCCCTTCATGTGTGTGTGGAGGGATATAGAAGCACGGTCTGCACAGACACCTTTGTAACCTGTAATGAATCTCAAGAATATGATGAACAAAAGCTGTTTTAAAACCTGCAAATAATTGTGCATCTGCACTGAGCCTGCGTGCGGGGAGGGCGGGGTATGAATGAAATGAAATAAAATAAATTAAAAAATTCTGTACAGTATTTAGCAGCTGCATCTCTGCACCAGCAGCAATAGCACTAACCCATCTGTCTGCTCCACATCACTCCTTTATAGATCACCTTAACTTAGTTATCTGCAGAGTTAAATTTGATTTCCTTTCAGAAAAGAGTGGGACAATGACTCTTTTACATATCTTTTGTCTGGATGAAAGTGCAAATCAAAGGAAGGGAAGAATATATTGTACAACTGCCCTGTTTTAGCCAGGATAGCTCATGTTTTCATAGCCCTGGACCAAGACAAGCCCCAAAGCCAGATGTCCCATTTTTAAAGTATACCCCTAAAAGATGCTAATTTTGGAAATGATAATTCACTCTCTATATATTGATGCTGCATAGTTTTGGGTGATAGAAAAAAGTCATAATGATTGATCACATCTGCATTCTTACTGAGGTATATAAAGAAACTAGCACTTTTTAAAAAAATAACCCTATTTTTCTCTAATCCCATTCAGATTGAGTCAGAGCTGCAACAAAGGTTTGTGTATATTTGTATTTTTTTAAAAAAAAATGCAGGATGAATTTGGGCAAATCTTTCACATACACTTATTCCTCTTTTTCTGTTGGTAGAGCATCAAGTCAGAAATCAGGTTTTGTTTTTTGTTGGTATTTTTAACATTGTTGTTTTTAAAATTTGCTGAGAAAGTTTTTAAAAAGAAGTATATCTTTGGTGTTGAAGTGGTTGCAGTGTACAGCTTTTCTGCAGTGTTTTGGCCATGGAAGTGGGTCAGTTTTTGTTGTTCAGTCGCACAGTCGAGTCCGACTCTTCGCGACCCCATGGACCAGCTCCCGCCAGGCCCTCCTGTCTTCCGCTGTCCTCTGAAATTGGCTCAATTTCATGTTCGTTGCATCGATGACACTGTCTAACCATCTCATCCTTTGCCGTCCCCGTCTTCTTTGACCTTCAATCTTTCCCAGCATCAGGTCTTCTCCAGTGAGTGCTCCCTTCTCATTTGGTGGCCAAAGTATTTGAGCTTCAGTTTCATTATCTGGCCTTCCAGGGAACAGTCAGGGTTGATTTCTTTTAGGATTGATTGATTTGATCTTTTTGCAGTCCAAGGGACTCTCAAGAGTCTTCTCCAGCACCATAGTTCAAAAGAATCTATTCTTCGGCGTCAGTTATATGAGAGGAAAAATTTCAAGTGTGTGAGGGGAGAGGAGGCTTCCAATAGCCTGCAGTTGGATTCCATTATCAAGTTTTAGGAATATTTCATTGCTAGGCTCTTATTAAGCAGTCTGAAAATGTGTATGCATACTTGGAAGTGAGTTATCACTGAGTTCACTGACACTTAGGCTTGTACCCAGTACCTATTTTCCACCACTGGAAGGACACATGCTCTGGAGAAGAGGGTGATTTCCAGCTCCTATCAGACTTCCATGTTGTGGTTAAATATTGCTCCTGGCACTCAGTGAATCTGTATTCAGACCTCAGTTGGGCTATCGTGAGAGGAGGAAAAAATCTTGTTCCATGAGCTCCATCCCAATCATGGTTGTTGTTGGATACAAGCCATTGTCACAAGTATGCAGAGGACTGCAGGCTTAACATTAAATGGCCTGACCCTTGGTGTCCTAGTATAGCCTCTTAAATTCCTTTCTTCCAGGAGCTATCCACAGCATATATGCACAGGTGGTTCCCCACATTGTTTCCTGATTATATTTCCTGCTACCCTAGCAGCAGTCTATTCTGACTCAAAGAGAGTGGGAGCTCAGGGCAATGTGAATAATACACTGATGCTTTTCTCTTTATTGCCTCATTCATTGCCTAGCCTTGCTTTCCCAAGGTTTTGTTCTTGTTATGAGAGACGTTACAAGTGTGCCCATATACTTCAGACTTCCCTTCTCCTTTTGTGACTGAGGCAGTTCCACCCACTTTCAGTAATCTTTCAGCCTTGGCCACCCACTCAGTTTTCTAATACCATGCTAGGAAAGGATAGGGAGTTACTTCTCAATCACACTGAAGAGCATGCTTTAAGGATACTAACTTTTGCCATATATTTTATATCCTTTAGTACAAAACCCAAGGTAATGCCACAGTACCACCAGATGAGGGGCATTTAGTGGCAATTGACATCTCTTGGAAGTAGAACACCTCACACAATATTATTGTGCTGCACTAAGAGCCTGCTTGACTAATATCAAAATCTTAGTCCACCTGTAACTAAAACAATAAATCAGACTAACATCATATGTCCTCTTTTACACATTGATCCCCCCCCTTTTCTTGTGGTGGTTATAAAATTAATTGGTTTAATTTTTTTTCACCAAAGAAACAGCACCTTTCCCAATAAAATAAAGCACAAATCTTCCAAGCCTTGGGGGCTCTGTTGTGATCCCTAATTCCTCTTCTTTTCTGGCACTGTGAACCTATCCTCTCTCCATCTCTGACAGTTGCTACAGCATTTTCTATATACTTAAATCACAACAATTGCTGCAGATGAGATGCTTATGTACTTCTCTAGAGCAATGGTAAATTTAAAGCTTATTTTGGATTCTAAAGGATGATAGGGTTTACAGCTTCAGGTTGGGGAACTCCTGGAGATTTGGGGGAGGCAGCCTGGGGCATACAGGGACCTCAGTGGGGTACAATGCTATAGAGTCCACCCTCCAAAGCATCCATTTTCCCCCCAGAGGAACTGGCCTCTGTAGTCTGGAGATGAGCTGTAGTTCCAGGGGATCGCCAGATTCCACCTGGAGATTGGCATCCCTATTTGAGCCCCAAACTAATTTAGTCTGGGGAGACAGCAGCCAGCAACAGAACAGTTGTACAGAACCATATTATGCAAGCATACCAAGGGCCCATAAGAAGCAGCCTGACACATCCATTCACACACAGGTTACATGACTGCATAAACTCCTGTGGTTGAATCCCAACCCAATTTGTACATACATATTACTGAAGAAAATGTGTCAAAGGAGTCAAGTTCATGCTTTCCAGCATTTGGCAGGTAAGAACTGCTTCTTCATTGTTGCTCTGAGATCAATGCTCTCAGAGCAGAGTTTTAAAAAATCACTTCCAGGCATTGAAACAGACCCTCCCCCTTCGAAAATGAAAACACCAAATGAGAGATGGCTTTTAATGCTGCCTACAAAGAAGCTTTGAGCCTGCTTGTCAGGCAAGGCGGGGTATAAATACAAATAAGAAATAAATAAATAAATAAATATAAATATAAGCTTTGAAGACACAGTGTCAGCGGACTCTTAAGAACATTTTGCTGGGAGTAAGTCCCACTGAATAGGATTCTGAATTGATTTAGGATGACCCCATGTATCTACTTTTCTCATTACTATCCAGTGTGGTGTAGTTGTTAAGAGCGGCAGAGTCTAATCTGGAGAACTGGGTTTGATTCCCCACTCCTCCAGATGAAGCTTGCTGGGTGAGCTGTGTGCCTGTTGTGGAGATAGGAAGGGAATGTGAGTGTAAGCTAATTTGAGACTCCTTAAGGTAGAGAAAAGTAGGGTATAAAAACCTACTCTTCTTCTGTCCATAAATGGTGCATTTACACAACTATGTGGCTCAGTGGCATGCAGAAAGTCCCAGGTTCAATTCCTGACATTGCCAGTTAAAAGGATTAGGGTCTACCTGACACCCTGGGGAGCCATTGCCAGTCTGAGTAAACAATACTGACCTTGATGGACTAGTTATCTGATTCCATATACAGCACCTTCATGAGACCATGTGTCCACAAAATGTCTGTCTGGAGCTTCCACTCTGTGTCAAGCAATTGGTAATAGAGTTTCACACATGCTGGCCATGAAGAGGGGGAAATCACATGTAGTATGGTCATGATTTGAAAGGGCCATGTAGACTACCATAAAACTCCATTTCAAACCAGCAAAATAATTTCTGGATGTAAAATGCAAGAGACTAAGGTTCATGTCCTCTTTCACTTACAGTTAGGGGCAAAGCCCTCAGCTTCAGTTCTGCATTCCCATATGAACCTGCCAAACTCTCGTCATCTTTGGAGGCCTTGTTTTGGGTGCTCATGCCACCTGAGGCTAGATGGGTGGCAACCAAGGAAGGGCATAAATGGTCATGGTGCCAAAAATTTGGAACTCTTTCTCCAGGGAGATTCATCTGTTTGTCTTCCTCTATCACTGTCTTCCTCCATTGGGAGAAGATGTGGTTTTATTTCTTGTTTTTTAAAATTCCCTCATTAACTCTTATTAGCTCTTGTCCATGTTTGTGTGTGTTTCTGTGTTCATATTTTTTCAGTGTTTATATTTTATTTAATTATTTTAAATTGTATATATGTGTGTGTATTTCAAATGCTTTTTAATGTCTGAAATGCTCAAATGTTTTGTTTTAATGTTCACCACCCTGGAAACTCTGAACTGTGTGGTAAGGCAGCATAGTAATGTTTTTAAAAAATAAATCTAAAAAACAGGAATAATAATCTCACAGTGCTTTGTGTCAATGAATAAGGATAGACTACACATTGTAAACTTGGGAGTGCTACATATACCCTAATACTAACTGAGTATAATTTGTCTGCCTTTGCATGCAGAGTGATTGATAAGCCTATGTGCTTCATACAGTGCTGAAATAAAGACTGAGAAATTCTGTAACTTAGCATAACTCTATGTTTCACAAAGTGAAAAGTGAAGTTACAGAAATGCAGGGGGAAAACATGGCAGGCAGAAAAGCTAAGTGTTAATCATAAAGGTCATGTACCAAGAATTGGGTCACTTTCAAAAGACTAATTATATATGCAAATTAAATTGGAAAAGGATATTATCCTGTTTGTACTTTTGATATGAAGTCAGACATTCTCAAAATAATTGATGATCTGCAAACAGAGCCTGTTAAAATTTGGGTTTAAAGATGGAAACCTGATAGGCACATTAGAAGAGCAGATGAAAATCAGAATAGAGTTTAACGTAGGTTTGCCAGGTTGCTGCTTCAGGCAGGGGACTCTCCAGCAATGTTCCCTCTAAGCTGTGGGGTCTTGTGAGCAAAAATTCTACTTTGTGAGCTACTGGCATTAAAGTTGTGAGCAAGAGATTTCGCTGCTGGATAAGCTAGTTTGCTCTGGAGCCCTCCTTCC